TGCTGATAATTTGAGCTGATGTATTTATGGGGCTCCATGTTCCCAGAGGATCATCGCGTATGATGCCAACATTCTTCTGGAAGTCTGGAAAGTCTGGAGCTTGGAGAGGCTGAACAGTTCCCAGAGAACAAAACCTCAGGGAATTAAACTTTAGTCTGGTCTTAAGATCATTAGAGCTCTTTTTCCTCCACACGCAAGGAGTATCTCTCTTTGGAAAAACTCTGATGGCCAATGTCATTAATGATCTTACATAAAACCCTCATGAATCAAAGTATGAATCCAATTTTTAACTTGCTCTTTTCATCTCTGTTAGTTTTGTGCTTTGCAGAAATGTGGACTATTTTACCCCACAGCAAAAAACAAAACAAAAAAAATAGCACAAAACAAAATGGAGTCACACTGTAGGAGATTGAAGCCTGAGTCACTTGAGCGATCTGTTCCTTGCACGGAGTTCCTGGGTGATCATGCATGAATCATTGCCCAACATCCAGACTTTCTAATTCGGTAAACAAAAAGCAATAGAAAGTTCATCTTTAGCTACCAATTACTCAATTTGAAAAGGACGTGTACACACTGTATTCAATTGCTACATACCTCTACAAAAACCACCTTAGGGACAATTTGTTCTCTTAAATGAGTCGCTAGAAAAGGCACATTATGCCAGGCAGAATTTTATCGTTTCTCTGGCAGACAGCTGCCTAGGAAATGAACTCGGCACTATTGTTTATGGCTTGAGTGTTTGCTATTGTATGAGGGAAGGCTCATTTACAATACCACTGAAAGGTGGGCAGAAGTGAAAAACAGTAATTTTAGGTCACTTAATCCTCTCTGAGCACCAGTTTCTTTCTCTATACAATAAAGTTAACAATGTTCCCCCACGCCATCTTAGAAGGTATGTGTGAGCAAAACCTACTAGGTCCAGCACTTTGATACTTCTGGCAATATAAAGGTAAGTGAAAATTTTAACACTGCTTGGCTCAATAAATAAATAACATAATTCATGTATATTATTAAACTCTATACAAAGATAAGGTAGTAGTAGCAAGCGGCGGTGGTGGTCGTGGTAGTGATCATGGTAGAAAACTCAGAAAGTCATAACTGGAAGGGAAGTTGGAAGGTCTGCACTCTAACCCTCTCTGTTTGAAAAAACTGAGTTCCAGGGAGATTATTGACTTTCCAGAGATATACAAATAGTACAAGCTATTATTTGTTGTTAGGATGCCCCAATCTTTAAGCAGATTCCTGGAAACGCAGAGAGTAAGAGCAAGCATCGTCAGTTAAAATTTAATAGGGGATTGTTGAATACATTTAGAGAAGCCTTTCAGCTCTGCTTACCACGTGGGTAAGAAGGAGGAATGGCGGGTTTCGATTCTGGCTCTGCCACTTACTAGCTAGTGATTTGGGGCAGATTACTTAACTTCTGTCTGTCTCCTTTCCTCATCTGTAATAAGAAAGCAATAATAGTGCCAGAGCTCTCAGGAGTATGGTGAAGGTCAAAGGGACTCCTATGCAAAGTGCTCAGAACAGAGCCTAGCACATGCCAGCCTCTGGGCATCTCATCCATTCATGCAATTAAAGCAGAGGTGCAGTGAGCCTCCTGCTAGTAACAGGCGTCTAAGGCAGAGAGCAGTCACAGTAGACCCAAGGGGCAGCCTCCAAAGCGATAAATGCAATGGTTGCTTTGTTCACAAACCAAACCAGAGCTGCTGCCTGTAGGGTATTTCTTCCTGTTCACACAGGTGTCAGCTGACATGGTGAGCATTTCAGATACTCGGCTGAGCACTGATGCTGAGAATGGGCCTGTAACTCTAGGACGTGAGCAGGGCTCTCTCACCAACTCAGCTCTGAATGGCCACTATGCTTCTGGGTTCAACTGAGGAAGTTTACAGAGAAGAGGCGGCTCCTGTTCTGAGATAAAGGTCTCGATTGACCATCACTCCCAGTTCATTAGCCACCTCTGTGCTGCTGACCTGGCCTTGTGAAGGTTGTCAGGCAAAGCCTGGGGCGTGGGTGGGGTGTTGTTTGGTTTACACACCTATCCGGCATGATCCTGTAAGGTTTCCTAACCTCAGGGGAACATCCCAGCCACTGCTGACCCTGAAGCTAGGTTGAGGTCACTCAAGGACAACTCTACCCAGTTTCACTTGGTAGACAGAGTGAAATTAATGACAAAGAATAGCAAGAACGTGACTGTCACCTAATCCATGTGGTTAGGTGAAAGAATGTGTGGCAGAAGAAAGAATACGTCCCTCCCTGGAGGTGTGGCCGGCATGAGACAAAACAGTGTCCAAGAGGGAGAGGGAGTTGTGCCCACCTAGAACTGTGCTGGGGTGCGTGACCCGTCCCGAGAATCCCATCCGTCTGATCTCCCCTAATCACTGCCCTTTGGAACAGAGTGAAACTTTGGCTTCTTTGAACTCCGCAGTGGGGCAGCCAGCTCCCGTCACGCTCCGATTGCAGGCTCTCTTCTGATGACAATTTGACTTCCCACTTAGATGGCAGCACAGGGAGAGACTGTACTTGAAACAGAATATGTGTCTGGTCTCCTGGCCGAGTTCACTTGTCTTTGTAAATTAATAAAATGGCATTTTGATTTACACACCCGTCTCTTGTGAACTTGGTGAGTATGACGGAGGGCCAGATAAACTGATCTTACCTCGGCATGCTGACAAAACCAATTTTCTCAGTTTTTGAACCTGAAAAACTCAGGGCCAGACTCTGGACGGTAGTGAAATCACCAAGGTAATTCCCTTTTGAAGCATCTGGCAGCCAGACAGGTGGCCTCGCCTCCACCTTCCGTCAAACACATTTCTCTTGTGGACTTTCATCTTTCAAGGTGAACACTCCACATTCAATGCCCACTCATATGATTGATTCCACACGATAAGCTCAGGAAATGGGAAATTTGCCCCTACCCTGAGCTACCTAATCACTGTTTTGACATATATATAAAGGCACCTAATCAACATACAATTCTAATGAGCATGTGACTTCCAGTATTTTACATGTGTTATCTTCTCAAAATCACGAAGCTATTATTCATCTATACACTGAGCATTTCTAAACCCCATCAGACGGTACAAAGTAGGTGATGTTATTGTTAATTAAACCCAGTGGTGCTAACTGAGTGGCTCTTGTCCCCAAGTCCCTTGGTCTGTTCTGGAAGTTCTCTGAGGGGCTCTAACAAATGTTTGCAATCCTCTACTCCACAATCCATGTGATTGCTTCTTCCGAGACTGTTCCTGGGAGTTTGCAAAGCTACTCGTAGATACGTTAAGGTAACAAATGGCATGAAGTTTTCTCTTGTCATCTCCACGCTCCTCGAGCTGCTCATTCATAGGGTAGAAATGGATGACATCAGTCACCCTGATTGGATCATTACACATTGTATACATGTCATGGGCCCCCAAAATATGTACATGAGGTCTGACAATTAGTATGGAGGGAAATGAAGGCACTCCAGCAATAACACCTGCAGATCCTGTGGATCATCATCCCATTGCTTTCTGGAACCCAGTGTGGTATTTTAGACATTGTGATTTGTCGAGTAATTTACTAGGATTGATTCTTTCTTCTGACCCTTGTAACAAATACTCAAACTCAGCATTGTATGTGTAAGGATGGGAAATATGTTTTCACAGAAATGTTCTAGGGCAATATGAAATCACATCAGGATCTGGGACCACCCTTATACATCCTCTGGCATGCCCACTCCCCAAAAGTATTCAGTGATCCTTGTATTACAAAAAGGTCCTCTGCCCATCGCCAGTATTCGGACCTCTCCCTGACAGTGGGAAGAATCGACAATTCAAGCCAGTGCTCTCAACAACAACCATGATGTCTGTAACTGTGGTAGAATGGATCCACCCTTGAGTTACTCTTTCTGGAGGGGAGAGAAGAGGAGAAATGGCTGCAGCATTTTCTACAGTATGGGAACAATTTTATCACTTTTACTATTTAGACCCCAGAGCTCTGGAGGGAGCTCCCAGGAGTTTTATTTGAATTCCAAGGCACTTAGGTGTTTTAATGACCAGCTTCCCAGCCAGAGTCTGATGCTGAGCCAGCCCACACATCTGACGCTGTTCTCTCTGATGGCATCTTACTTCCTAATGGTCTAATTCCACCCAGCCATCTGACCTAACTCCTCAGCATCCCTTTCACTAAGTGCCTGCACCTGCAGAAATCCCAGCTGGGACAGATTTTGAGTTGTTGCCCATGGGGCTTCATGCCACATCTGACACATGGCTGGCTGCTCAGGGGGGCTGCCCAACTCCATGCCCTGGCATCATTGAACCTGAATATGAATCTAGCTGAGACCCCAATACTACTCTCTTCTACAGAAAATAAATCCTATCTTTCTGAATGAGCCATAAGACATTTTCCAAATATTAATCATATAGTCAGAAATCTCAAAAACAGTGGTCAGGCTGTCAACATTTAAAAAGAGGTCGGACTAAGTGAGCAAATAACATAGAAAAAAAAAATGAGAAATGTCATCAGAAGACTAGATGCAATATTATATTTCAAGTCACAGTAACTTTAGTATTAAATTCTTTCAATATTTAAGAAAAAACTCTTCATTATTAAAAGAAAACTACTGCAAATTATGTTCTGCTCATGATATGGCAAATTAGAATAATCCTTTTAGCAAAAAATTTATAATACATACTAAGAGCCAGCCATAAGATGTTTCTATCCTTAGATTCAGTAATTTCATTTTTATTAAGTATATCCTAAGGAAAAAATACAAAATACAGAGGAATAAAGCTATGTGATGTACTGGTCATTAAAGAAATATTACTAATAGAAAAAATTTAAATCATCTAAATATTCATTAATAGGTCAACCAATAAGTAAGTTAAGGTCTACCTTCTCAATGAAATTATCATGTAGTCACTAAAAATAGCTGTGAAAACTATTTTGAAGCATAAAAAAGTACACTGTTAAATGTAAAGTCATGAAAACAGAATTCAAAAAAAACTTATTATAGGAAGAATATCAAATAATGAAATCACCCAAAATAGTTAGAATCAATAGCAAATGTTGCAGTAGTGAACCTACAGTTCTTTGAAGAGGGGGGAAAAAAAAGAATTAATGGCAAAATTAATGGCAAAAGAATTAATGATAGAAATGATTGGTTTTGGTTAATTCGTAATATTGTTGATTGTCTCATGTTTTCAAAATTTTCTCTAATTACTTGTGTCAATGACGTATTTATTTCAAAATAGCTATGTTTCAATGATAAAAAAACTTTGTATTATAGATTAAACATCACAGTCAATAAATGGAACCCTTTGGGTTATATTCTGCATATATTATCTAATTTCATATTCACAATAACTCTATAAAGTCACTAGCAATATGGTCCCCATTTTATAGTCCCAGAGCTGAAGGACAAGGAATGTTAAGCTCCTCACCCAGAAACACAGCCAGGAGATGGCAGAGATAGCATTAAAAGCCATGTACGTCTGATTCTAAAGTCCAACGTTTAAACTGCTGAGCTAAAGAGCAAGGAATAAGTGAAAAAGGAGGAAATAGCAAATAAAATTTCATGAGAGCAATGAATGGCTAAGGCGACTGCTCGGGAAATCACATTTGAGAGGAGAAACTAATAGAGCTCATCAATTCAAAGCCCGGAGTCCACAGCCCTCGGAAAGTCCCAGGGCTTTTGGTGCTCTGTTTTAATGTTTAGACATCCAGCATGTTAAGAGCTGAGTCCTTTGTGGTCAAACCCCTTGAAACAATGAGCTTCATGCATGGGCTGTTTTGGGGCCTAATGATCCAAGATGGAAGAGATTGGTGGCCTTGTGACCTCCATCTACTGGCAACTGCAAGGCCCACATGGTCCTCCTAACCTTTTCGGTGATTATGTGACCATCCATCACACAGCCACAAGCACAATAGTGAAACACTACTGAGTGACAATCATTTCAAAGGTAAGTTGAAAAAATAAGTTCTTTGAAAATTCCCTGGATGAGTCATACCACAAGAGTGCAATTAGGATTTTGCGAGTGAGGAGAAGCCGGCTTCACACAAATAACAAGTTTCTGTGTATGATAATAACTTCCTCGCCATTGCTGACCTCTTCACATGCAGAAATGAAACTGTTCCACTAGAGTCATCAGCAGTCCAGCCCGGATCGCTCTATCCTTTTGAAAGAATCGTTGCCTTCATCTAGAGGTCAATGTTAGTAGGATCAGAATAACATCCTGCATTTTTAATGAGTTTTTCAAATCATATTTCTTGTACAAGGTCAGGCCATTCTGACATTGTTATTTTTATTTCATCTTGAAAGGAAAGTGAAATGTTTATAGCTCACTTTTTCAAGTTTCCCTATACTCTGCTATTCAAATGGCATACGCTAGAATTTGCACTTGTTCTATAAATTTGCATTTAGGAGAGAGTATGACGGGCAAATTTGTCCATATGTTGATCATAAGTCCTCTAACATGCTCCCTCTGGATTTCTAAGCAAAAGACCTTCCTTGTTCCTAGTTAAGACATATTAATATCATAAAGGTGTGAGTTCTCCCGAAGTTCAGATATACATACAATGTAATCACAATAAAAAAAAAAAAAAAAGCTTTCCCTCTGGAGGTCGACAATAGATATTAAAGTTCATATAGAGAAATAATTATACAAGAAGAGCTATGAATACACTGAAAAGGAAGAACTGTGAAAGCACCAGCCCTCTCGGATCATGAGACTTGCTCAAAGCTTCTAAAATCAAAGCAGCATGCGGTTGCCTTATAAGTAGATAAACAGACCAGTGAAACAGAGTGGGAAGTCTAGAACCCAACAGCATACAGAAATCTAAAGGATGATAAAAGGAACATTTTAAGTTACTTGAGGAAGGATGGATGGATTTTTAAATAAGTGGGACTGGGACAGCTGACTGCCATTTGAAAGAAAGATGAAATTAGATCCATTCCTTACACCTCCTCCCCAACCATGGATCAGAGATTGAAGCATCAGAAAAGAAGCCACACAAAAATTAGAAAGTAGGAGTTACTTCGCCTATAATATGGATGTAGGAGAAGACTGACTATGACTCAAATGAGATGCAATAACAGAAAAGAATGATAAATTTGACTGCATTCAGAAAATTTTGAATAACAAAAATACATCATAAGCAAAGCCAAAAGAGAAATAGTACATGCAGTAGAATCTCTGTAAGTTGGCCACCCAAGGAACTGTACCACACTGGTCAACATACAGAGGTGGTCAACATAAGGAACTAGACCTACTGTACTGAAACGTGCGTGTGATGTACGTCCAGCCCATAAAATGTAGGTCAGCTTAAGGTGGTCAATGTAGGGTCAACTATGGAGGTGCTACTGTATCCACAAAGTCTATCACGGGTAAAGAGTTAATATCTCTAAGGAACTTTTTAAAAAATGATGGGGAAAAAGGGGACCAAAACTCAATAGAAAACCAAGAAGACAGGCAACACACACAAAATATATATAAAAATGTTCCCTGTGAAAAAATGTTCAAGTTTATTCATAATAGTATAGATAGGATTTAAAACCACACTGATACACCATTGTTCACCTATCAGATAGGCAGAAATTCAAAGCTTAATTGCATAATCTTTTGGCCAAAACTGTAGAGAAACAGGCTCTCTCTGTTTTATACATTGTTGTAAGAAATAAAGAATGGGGCTCGGCGCCTATAGCTCAACCGGCTAAGGCGCCAGCCACGTACACCTAAGGTGGTGGGTTCGAATCCCCAGCCCGGAC